TGGTCGCCACCGAAGCGCAAGCATTGCAGTTTGTAGCAGTCGCTACGATGCACGAGTGCCACAGTACGAAGCCCACGCTTGTGAGGATCATCAATTTGAGCCCAACCTGTCTTCAAGGCTACCTCTAGCAGCCTTACAGGTGCCTTTGCTGCATCCGCCGATGCCGACAGCAAGGTGCCGAAGTCAGCCTCAGGCACTGCCGTGCAGCCTGCAAGGACTTCAAAGTAGGTTTGAGGTCTTGCGCTCTGTCTGAGCTTTATCTGCTGCTCCATGTGAAGGGGCCTGAATGGCGTGGACACATCCACGGGGTGGCTCTCATCAGGCATGCACTGCGAGAACCAAAAGGATGCTTGGTCCTTGAAGCTGTCAAGCTCTCGCCAGTTGACCATGCGCTTCACCTCCACAGCCATCTGCCCCTTTGCAACTTTCTGGAGGCGCTCAAGGAATTCCCATGTGGGAGACTTGGGGTGATCATCTGAATGGTACAATGCCAGAAGGCAATCTTGCAGCACCTCATTGACCGCGGCCAGGAGGCAAGCTTCCGCTTTACCCTCTCCTGCCTCCACCTTCTGCTGGTAGATGGCCATGCAAAGATCAAACAAGCCGCCGCTCAGAACTTGGGAAAGGGCATGAGGATCCCCATGTACCCCACCCGGGATCATGCTGACCTTTAAATTGTTGTGAAAGCAGCGCAGGCCGTGGTCCTTGTGCAAGGCACAGCCAACCTGCTTGGCGTTCTCTGCAATGAAGCCAGGCTTGGTGGCCAGGTTTGCCTTTGAAGCCACCACAGCCTTACCTCGAACCAGGGGATCTTGAAGCAGATTCACATGTGCCAAAAAGTCCGCCAGGGCTTCGTGTAGGGCATCTGGGGGGAAGTGGCGCTTGATCAATTTGATCACCACATGGCCAACCTCATGTGCAACAATCATGGCCGAATTGCATGTGTACACCATGTTGCCATCCACCTTAGCGGAACCGCAGTGGATTTCGTTGGTGTCTGGATAGTACCTGGCATTCAGCTTGTTCTGCAGCCTCATGCTCTCAGGAAAAACCTTCAGCTGCCGCATGGGGAGATCAACGCCTGTGGCTAGGACGAATTGTTGAAGAAGGAAGTCCATCATTCCGTGGCTGTGCACAAAAGCCTGCAGCCTGCGCTGTCCACTTTCATCCGTAGAAGAAAAGCAGCCTTGCTGCACCCTCGGTGGATTGTCGATTTCAGGCATTATCTTCACATAGCTGCTGGCAGGGCCATCAGTGATCTGGTCGTTCTGAGCTGGCATTAGAACCATCGGTCCTTGAAGCTCAGGATTCATCGGGTCTTTGTGATAAATGTCATTGATCACGACGGCTCTTTGGATGCGCACGGGCACGTATTCAGACATTGCGGCCATGCAAATCTGTTTTTCTGCGCGCGCTAATGCTGAGCAACAAAAAGTCAGCTGCCGGGCGAAGCCGATGTAGTCACAATCTAAGCTCTATCCTGTGGAAGTGCCAGCTTACATGCGCCTGGAAACCCCTTCATGCCTTCATGCACGCAAAAGCAAAAGAGATAGCAGCCACTAAGCTCGTGACGTCCCCTTGCATGGTCGCTGGCCTTTGGCCTGTGCCGTGATGTGAAGTGTAACGGAAACAAGCAGACCTGGGTGATGCCATGCGAAACAGAGACATCAGACATGGTCCCCGCGTGAGTCTGAAGGACTTAGCACTGAAAAAATGCTTTCAAACATCACGACTTGAACGCGAGCTTTGTTGCCTTCTTTGTATGAAGTGCCCGCTTTGGGAAACCCAAGTCACTTTTGACTGCCCAAACTCCCGTAGTCCCTCCATCTGGAGATTTGGTGGTACTTGTTTATGCAAGGTGCCCTCAACAACCTGCAACAAGTCAAACATGCTTTGCGGCTGCCTGGGCTGTGCTTCACAGGCCACAGAACTGGCAAAACATTCTTCTTGTTCTCGCCATCCTGGGCAAGCGTGACTGCTGTGCACTGGACTTCGCTGGCAACCCACACCCAGCGAGACCACACTGACTCCAATTATGAGATTCTGTGGCTTCTGTCTTCTTGCAATTGGGTGTAAGGCACTCAAATCTCGATCAACATCTGACAACGGCTCTGTGCATTGCGCAAAAGCTTTATGATGCAACTCTTATCCATTTTGTGGCTGCACCCGCACATCCTCTCGCACATGGCAATCAACTGCATGTAGGAGAGGCATGTCATGACATCTTGGCTAAATCTGAAGTCACCCGAATCCTGCCTGATTGATAGCCAGCATTCTGCACTTTTGGCTATTGTATAAAGCCAGAAGAAGATATGCTAAATGTCCTCAGCTAGTGGATCTCACATCAAGGTTCGAGTTGCAAGAATCTTCGACAACATGACCGCAACGGCTGCTGACGCTGCTGGAGATACCAGCACTCGCCAAACTTCTGTTTAACATAGTGAAAGCATTTTTTGGCACAGCAGTCCCTCCAAACGAACATCTGGCTCAAGGAGGACTTTGCCACTTGTTTGCCTTCCATTCTATTCCATGGTCCAAGCAGTCGCGCCGATCTTCTATGCAACACTTTCTTTCAGCTTCACATATCTTCATGCTCTCGTTCTAAGACTTTGGAATGAAGGGCGCCCTGTGTGTCTGCCAAGCCTTGAAGAAGCTGAAACCCTTCCAAAGTCCATATGACAAATTGCTTCAAAGGAGCATCCCACGCAAGACTCAAAGGGAGCAAAGCTGGATGTGCAAGACGCTGGCACCTCAAAGCAACGATATCTGGCGCAAGGCGATATGGCCCCTTATCACGACAGCTTTCGAAAAATCTTTAACAAACTTGCATGGTGTGGGGTAACGTGGGCAGGACATGGCAAGAATTTGATCGTGCGGCAGCTGAGATCCACACCTCTCCAAATGATGATTCTCGCTCCCAAACCCCGAAGATGCGAGCCTGCGCTGACGCACGGGTTGCAAGTGCACAGCAGTGACAGTCATTCTGGTCGAGCATGGTCGAGCTTATGGATGCCTGTCATTCCAAATGCTGTCCCGGCCTGCAGTGCAGGCTCCAATCTCGTACTTGTAGATACACAAGTCACATGTCTGGTCTGAGTCCAGAACACTCCGCG